AGGAAAACAACCTCCAGGTGCTGAGCAACGGCATCCATCCATCCATCCATCCCAGGATCACTCCGTGGCACCTGGAAGAAGATCCCCTTCCTGAGGGTGGGATGAAGGCATCTGGGGCAGGATTGAGCCAGTAAAAGTGGTTGAACCAGAAGGTGGACTCGGGAATTGCGTTGTGGTTTGGACACGATGATCTTCAAGCTCTTTTTTCCGAGCCGGATTCTGTTCCCACGGAGCAGCACCTTGCGGGGAAAAAAAAAAACCTCCATGAGGGAGAAGCTGGAGCCGAATCGCTCCGGTGGGAACCGGAGATGCTCAGAAAGGGGTTTTGGCCTCCGAGAGGGCGGTGAGGACTCCGGTTACAGCTCCTGAGCTCCTGAAGGACCCGCCTAGGGGAGGACCCAAGGAGGGACGGGCTCCTCCGACCTCTTCCAAACTTGCTTCCAGCTTTTCCCAGCCGTCTGCGATGGGTTCTGGAGCTCTAACCTTCCTTGCAGCTTTCCCCTGAGCGGCTTGGCTTTTAAAAATGATGATGGTGAGGAATTATTCCTGGCTTGGGAAGCACTTTTGTCCTTCGAAGATGAGGATCTCCTGGCTGGAAAGCTGCCCTGGTGTCCTGTGGTGGGGAGACCAACCCTAAAGGTCAGGTTTGGAGGAGGTGGTTGGTGCTCGCAGGTAAGGAGGAGATTTTTAGGGGGAGTTAAAACCCCAAACCTTTCATTTCTGGCTTCAAAACCTTGTAGAGATTTGGGGGAAGGGGGGGGGAAGAAGCGGTTTGGATTCGAGTCCCCGGGAGCTTGGAGAGTGAGATCCATTGTTCTGCCTTGATGGATGAGGGGTGAGGAGTGGGAGCAGGAATTCCCCCCTCAGCGGTGTCCAGCGGCTCCCAAACCCTTCCAGAAGCTGAGGAACGTTTCCCACTTATCCAGGAGGAAAAGGGAGGACGTTCCACCTTGACTTTCAGCTTCAAAGGACTCGGGAACTTCCACCTGGTGATTGAGGGAGTTGGGAGAGGAGGAAAAGCCGCCGCTCCGCGCTGGATTTCTGAGGCGATTCCCACCCCAAATGCTGGATTTTGAAGGTGGAGGAAAAACCTGGAGCTGAGGTTGAGGCAGAACAATTAGATTCCCACCCGAAATGCTGGATTTCTGAGGCGATTCCCACTGAAACGCTGGATTTCTGAGAACATTGCCTCCCCAAATGCTGGATTTCTGAGGAGATTCCCTCCTGAAATGCTGGATTTTGAAGGTGGGGGAAAAACCTGGAGCTGAGGTTGAGGCAGAACAACTTGATTCCCTCCTGAAATGCTGGATGTTTGAGGCGATTTCCTCCCGAAATGCGATTCCTTCCCAAAATGCTGAATTTTTGAGGCGATTCCCTCCCCAAATGCTGGATTTTGAAGGCGGGGGAAAAACCTGGAGCTGGGGTTGAGGCAGAACAATTAATATTCCCACCCCAAGTGCTGGATGTTTGAGGCGATTTCCTCCTGAAATGCGATTCCCACCCCAAATGCTGGATTTCTGAGGCGATTCCCACCCCAAATGCTGGATTTCTGAGGCGATTCCCACCCCAAACGCTGGATTTTGAAGGCGGGGGAAGAGCCTGGAGCTGAGGTTGAGGCAGCACAATGAAGAGGGGAGGTTGTGTTTGCTGATTGCTCCAGGAAAGGGGCCGCCAAGAGGCTTGTTTGGGCGAGTAAACAATGTTGGTAACCGGGAGGGGGGTGGAAAGAAATGAAAAAAAAGAAGGAAAATCAGGTTGGAAAAGCCCGCTGAGGACTGGAAAGGGGGTTGCTGGGACACGGAACAATGGATTCCTCCGGCTCCTTTGTGCATCATGGCACCAGCCTGACTTTTCTGTCTGCTCTGGGGTTTTTCTCCCTCCCTTCTTCCACCCTGTGAAATGTTAATGATCTTAATTTTGCCCCCGATGCCCTTGGTGCTGAGTTTCCAAGGTCACTCTGCTCCACGTCCCCTTTGGTGCCACCAGGACTTTGGGGCTGAGCATGAACCTGTCGCTCCCTCCTGGATCCCACTCCCCTCTGCAGGGATTTGGGTTGGAAATCCTCATTTTTAGAGACTTCCACTTCTTTAAAATGCCTTAAAAAGGCCTTAGGATCAGTATCCAGGGGCAGTTCCTCTGGATTTTGGGGTTGACCCCTTGCAGAATAAGCCCCTTTGTGGATTTGCTCAGCTCCCAGAAAAAAAAGATCCTTGTTGGACCAGAACTTCCATAAAGCTTGGAAAGAAAAGTTTCCTCTTCACCAGGAGGGAGTTGATGGGGTTTGTCAGAGCTTGGGAAGCTGGAATATTTACAACCAACTCGGGAGAGTTTTAAATCGCCAAGAAATTACAGATGATCTGGATTAAATTGGTCTTGGTGTCACCTCAGAAATAAGATCCAGCTCTACCAGCCTCAGGAGTTTGAGGTTGTTTACTTTTCAACATGTAAATGTGATTTTTAAAAAATGAATTAAAAAATGAAAGCGTGGTCTGAGCTGCCTTTGGCAAGGGCAAGGTCCTGGGCAATTATCTTCATCTTATCAGATGAAGTTTATAACTGGGGGAGCACGTGCTGCTCCACTGGGGGGTGGGAAAAGGGGATTAAATTGAGTTTGGAACCTCCTTGGGGTTTTCCAAACCACTTGAGTTTCTCTCTTCTCCCTCCTTTCTTCCCCAGGTGTCCACTTTCCTGCTCTTTGAAAAGGTGAAGTGCCTCCTAAAGAGCAGCGATTTCCTTTCTGATTTGGGCTTGAAGCTTTCAAAAATGGTTGAAGGAAACTTGGTTTGCATAAGAATGGTCTGGCCTGGGGTTGTGGGATTCACCAGGACGTGTTCCTCCTGTTCCTAGGCTTTCTTCCTGTCCTGCTGCCTGTGGAGACAGGCTGAGGGGGTTGGGAATGTTCAGCTTGGAGAAGAGAAGGCTCCAGGGAGACCTTGGAGCACCTCCCAGTGCCTGAAGGGGCTCCAGGAAAGCTGGGGAGGGACTTGGGACAAGGGCAGGAGTGATGGGACCAGGGGGGATGGCTTGAAACTGGCAGAGGGAGCTGGAGGTTGGACCCGAGGAGGAAATTCTTGTCTGGGAGGGTGGGGAGAGCCTGGGCCAGGGAAGCTGTGGCTGCCCCATCCCTGGAAGTGTCCAAGGGCAGGTTGGATGGGGCTTGGAGCAACCTGGGCTGCTGGGAGGTAGCCCTGCCCATAGTGGGGTTGGATCTAGATGGGTTTGAAGGTCCCTCCAACCCAAACCAGTCTGAGATTCCATGAAGTTCTTCACTCTGAGGCAGGGGAGACTCTGGAAGAGGCTTCCCAGAGAAGTTGTGGATGATGGAAGTGACCAAGGGCAGGTTGGATGGGGCTTGGAGCAACCTGGGCTGCTGGGAGGTGTCCCTGCCCATGGTGGGGGTTGGATCTAGATGAGCTTTGAGGTCTCTCCAACCCAAACCAGTCTGGGATTCCATGAAGTTTTTCACTCTGAGGGTGAGTAGACCCTGGAAAAGGTTTCCTGGATAAGTGGGCAATGGAAGTGTCCAAGGGCAGGTTGGATGGGGCTTGGAGCAACCTGGGCTGGTGGCAAGTGTCCCCACCCAAGTTGAGGGTTGGATCTAGATGATCTTTAAGGTCCTTCCCACCCAAACCATTCTGTGATTCTCTCCACTGTGAGTCAGGCACGTTGTGTCTCCTCCCTCTTGGAGATCAACGTTGGTTGTTTTGTGGTCAGGATTTCTCTAGCACAAGGCTGATGGTTGAGCTGGTGAGAGGAAGGGGTGAACCAGTGACTTGATGTGCAGGAACGTACCAGGGGGAGGAAAAACTGCCTCATTCCTCTGTGAAGGAGCCTCCCAGCTGGGTGTGCTCACCCCAGCAGGGACCTCAGCCAGCCCTGACTGGAGATTTCCAAGCCCTTGGATAGGGAAGGAACAGGAACATCTGCTGGGGGGGGGTGTGGTCATCAAGCAGCTTCTTATCCCTTGGGTTTGCTTGATTTTTTTTTATTTTTTTTTTTGGTCATGTTTTTGTGGACAAATGTATTGAGTTTCTGGCTCTGGGAGGTGAAACAACCTTAACTGAACCTGTTGTTTGATACTGGGCCGGGCTGGGAAGGATGGGAAGTTAATTACCAGAGGGGGAAAGGCTTTGCAAGTGAATAATGATGTGATCCAGATGAGTGACCTGGCTGGTCTTGCTCCAGACACTGCCCAGCGTGTCAAGGAAATGGGAGAAATCACTTAAAAAGTCCTTTTTTGAGACTTAAACCTCTTTTCCTCTCAACTGAGTTCAATGAGTTTTGAATTTTAGAACCTTGTTCCAGACCTGGAAGGGAAAAAGGAGTCACTTCTCTTATCCCAAAGGTGACTTTTCCTGGGTGCTGACCAAGCGTGTCCCCTCCAGGTTCTCCAGACCTTCCAGATGACCCATCTCTCCCAGAGATCCAGGATTTTACAGGATGATTTTTGCTGCTGTTTACTTAGGGCTGAGGAATTTCTTTCTGCCCAGCTCTAAGTGCTCTTGGCCAAGTTTGGGGTGTCCTCACCTGCTTTGGAGGGATGAGAAGTGTCTGATGGTCCCTCCCTGGCCCAGAAGCAGCAGCTGCAGAGGCTCAGAGTCCTCAGCAGAGCAGTTTTTCAGTGGTTGACCACAGAACCATCTTTGCTGCTGTTTTGATTTTACATTTTTGAAGCAGAACATCTGGGACAAGACAAATAGTTTTGTCTGTCACCCCCCCATGAAGCTGTGTGGGGCCAGACAGGGAGGATCTCTTTATCAGATCTGGCAGAGCTTATCTCCTGCCATGGAGGTCCAGGGCTTTGCTGCACCCTGGGGATGGATTTGAGGACAACTTGAGGCTCTTGCCTGGAGCACAGAAGCGGTTTCCTGTTGCTGGTGGGGTTGTTTCTGGATGTCAGAAGCTCCTCCCCAGCCTCTAGCTGTGTCAAAGGCATCTCCCCAGCTTGTCCAAGGTAGCCTTGTGTGTGGGCAGTAGCTAATGGTCCTCTCCCCCCTCTGCAGGACAGCAGAGATGAAGCACTGTTTCTACAATGAGACCGTGGGGTTCTTCTACAACAACAGCCGCAAGGAGTTGACCACCTACTGGAGGACCAAGGACGTTCTGGTGGTGGCCCTGGGCCTGACAGTGAGTGTCATCGTGCTCCTGACCAACCTCCTGGTCATCACAGCCATCATCATCAACCGGCGCTTCCACTACCCCATCTACTACCTGCTGGGGAACTTGGCAGCTGCTGACCTCTTTGCTGGCATTGCCTACATGTTCCTGATGTTCCACACGGGGCCCAGGACAGCAGAACTCTCCTTGAAGACCTGGTTCATCCGCCAAAGCCTGTTGGACACCAGCTTGACAGCTTCTGTGGTCAACCTGTTGGCCATTGCGGTGGAAAGGCACCAGACTGTGTTCACCATGCAGCTGCACAGCAAGATGTCCAACCAGAGGGTGATGATCCTCATCTTCTGCATCTGGGTGACAGCTCTGCTCCTGGGGCTCATCCCATCCTATGGCTGGCACTGCCTCTGTGCCCTGGAGAAGTGTTCCAGCATGGCACCACTCTACAGCAGGAGCTACCTGACCTTCTGGGCCATCTCCAACCTGGTCATCTTCCTGATCATGGTGGTGGTCTACACACACATCTTCATCTATGTCAAGAGGAAGATGACACGGATGTCCAAGCACACCAGCTTCCACCCCCGCTACAAGGAGACCATGATCAGCCTTGTCAAGACAGTGACTATTATCCTAAGTAAGTCCCCTTGGTCTACTCGATCCAAATGAGGTTTTGATCCTCCATCCTGGCTTGGGGTGGGGTTGGGAATGTGTTTGGGACAACAGGGAGGGTTGGGAAGTGATGTTCTGCTTCCCTGAAGATCTCCTGTTTTTTTTCAGTTGGGCTGCTGAGGAACTTGAGAGCTTCAGGGTCCCATGAATTGTGGGAGCTGTGATGGGATCAACCTGGCTCCAGGGAGGGGACAACCTCCTGGACCTCTTCTCCCCAACGTGGCTGCTCCTCTGATCAGCAGGGACAAAAGGAACTAATGTGGCCTTTAAGCTGGACATGAGGAGAAGCTTCTTCCCTCTGAGGACGGGGAAACCCTGGAAGAGGTTTCTCAGAGAAGCTGGGGATGATGGAAGTGTCCAAGGGCAGGTTGGATGGGGCTTGGAGCAACCTGGGCTGCTGGGAGGTGTCCCTGCCCATGGTAGGGTTGGATCTAGATGATCTTTGAGGTCCATTCCCGCCCAAACCACTCCACAATTCCATGATTCCACAGTGGTGGGGAAAGAACAAGGAACCTGTGTCCAAATTCCTCACCAGACAAGCCCTGTCAGATGATCTTTTGAGCAGCTCAGCCAGGGGTCTCATTCTGCTCAGGGAAATTTATCCCTGGAGACTCCTAGCTCCAGCTGGAGCTGCTCTGTCCTCCACGTGTCTGTCTGTCAGTCTGTCCATGCTCTGTAGTGCCCAGTAGCTGGAAGGGGTTGGCACTGGGGCTCTGATCTCCGGGAGTATTTCTCTGGGAAGGTGAAGTTCTGCCCCTCCTGTGCTTTGTGTTTTCAACCTCCATCCTTCTCTGACTCTTTGCCTTCGTGCTTTAATTCATCCTCTCAAAACCTTTCTCCAAAGCCCTCCCAGATCTCCCACCACCCCAGCTCAGCTCTGGGCCAACAACCACAACCCTTTGCTTGCCAGTTTTTTCATGATAAGCCCAGAATTTGCTCCATCAGGGAAAACCTTGGAGCTGCAAACAAAGATTTAACTGCCCCTCTGGGGAGCTTGGGGCTGGGCCAGGGTGGGTGTACCTCCTGGTGGGTGTCCCTCCTGGTGGGTGGGTGTCCTACCCCCTGCCTGGTATCTCATGTCCTGGCTCCAGGGCTTTCCTGGGTCCTGTTGCAACTTGTGAATGTTGAAACTGAATTTTTTTCTGCCTGTTTCTGCTTTTCCTGCGGTGACCTTTCTTCCCTTCCTCACAATCTCACCATTCCTTGGGATTTTCTGCCTCGGAGCAGTACGAGAAGGTCAAGGATTCATTATTTGGTGTTTTCTGCACAGTTCACAGTGGAGAGAAAAAAGTTTTGTTCCCCTTTTTCTTCCTGAGCTGTATCAGAGGGTCATCCTGTGGTGTCAGCTCTTCTGCTTCATTGTCATGGAATGGTTTAGGTTGGAGGGACCTTAAAGCTCATCTAGATCCAACCCCACCATGGGCAGGGCCACCTCCCAGCAGCCCAGGTTGCTCCAAGCCCCATCCAACCTGCCCTTGGACACTTCCAGGGCAGCCACAGCTTCTCTGGGCAAGAAGGGAGATCCACGGGACTTCATCCCCTTTGCAGCTGGTCTGATGGCCAGGATGGGGGACACTGGCCAAGAAAAAAATTGCAATTCCCACTCAGGGAATCCCCTTATTCTGGGACATCCCTGGGCTGGAGCAGCTCTGCTCTGGAGACAGGCTGGGAGAGTTGGGGGTGTTCAGCCTGGAGAGGAGAAGGCTCCAGGGAGACCTTAAAGCACCTCCCAGTGCCTGAAGGGGCTCCAGGAAAGCTGGGGAGGGACTTGGGCCAAGGGCAGGAGTGATGGGACCAGGGGTCTCCTTCTTCTACATTTCCAGTGGTTCCTCCTTCTCCTTCCTCATGTTCCTCTTTTTCTTCTGGGTCATCTGTGAAAGGATTCTCACCCTGGAATGTGAAGACAAACATTTGTCTGTGGTGAGTTTCTTTCTCCCTGCTTGGAGAAACTGAGCCAGGAAACCCTCCTAAGAAGTCAAGGGCAGGTTGGATGGGGTTTGGAGCAACCTGGGCTGCTGGGAGGTGTCCCTGCCCATGGTGGGGGTTGGATCTAGATGGGCTTTGAGGTCCCCTCAACTCATCCCATGTTTCTTCCCTCTGTGGGAAAAACCTTTAGTGAGAGGAGCCTCGGGAAGAGCAGCCGTGGTTTCACAGATGGTTTTTTTCCTCCCCCCCTCCCTGTGAAAGCCCTGGTTTAATTCCTCCTCCACCCTCCTCTCCTGGCCCTTCTGCAAACTTGGACTCTGCACAGAGGAATTTTTTGTGCCTGATGCATCAGAGGGTGTTGCCGCCCCGGTGGGTGCGGCTGGAGCGGCGGGTGCTGCTGTGGGAGCCCTGGGGATCTCCCTGGGGGACTGGGATTTTGGGCAACGGCTCTAGGAAGTGACCTGGGGAACCACCTAGAGAAGTGGGTCCAGGTCTGGGCTCCCCAGAAGGACAAGGAGCTGCTGGAGAGGGGACAGCAAAGGCCACCAAGGGGCTGAGGGGACTGGAGCATCTGGCCCATGAGGAAAGGCTGAGGGAGCTGGGGCTGTGGAGCTGGAGAGGAGGAGCCTGAGGGGGGGTCTCCTCAAGGCTGCTCCAGATCTCCAGGGGGGCAGGAGGGGGGGACCAGGCTCTTCTCAGCAGTGCCCAGGGCCAGGACAAGGGGCCATGGGCAGCAGCTGGAACATGGGAAGTTGCAGCTCCCCAGGAGGAGGAAGTTGTTGTCTGGGAGGGTGGCAGAGCCCTGGGCCAGGCTGCCCAGAGAGGCTGGGGAGGCTCCTGCTCTGGAGACATTCCCAGCCCAGCTGGTTCCTGTGGGATCTGCTGGAGGTGACCCTGCTCTCCAGGGGGGTCGGATTCATGATCTCCAGAGCTCCCTGCCCATCAGTCTTTGACATCTGTGAACCAGCAGCAAGTTTTCCTGCAGACCAGTCGAGTGACACGTGACGGGAGGATCAAACCACAGGGCAGAGTCGTTAGTGACTCTGCTGTGTTAGAGTTAATTAATAGTTCCAGTTTCCTTCAGGATACTTTTGGCTTCCAGAAAGGAACAAGGAAAGCAGCTGCATTTGCAGGAAAAGTCCCAAAAGTTTTTAGTTACCTCTTTGGGGATGTTTTTTTTGGCCTTTTTCTGTGCTGTAGAATCTGGTTCTCCTGGTGGAATCTGAAAACCTGGCTAAAAATCCCACCAGTTTCTGGAGAATCATTCTGTGGATGGTGGAAACCTGGTGAAAAAAAGAACCAGTCTCTGGTGAATCTGGCAAGAAAAGAGTAAATTTCTAGAGAATCTGGGTTTTTACTTGCTGAAAATCAGGTTAAAAATGTTCTAGTCCTAAGCAAGGAGGTCACTTTCCCGTGGGATCACTCCAGGTGCAAGTTTTGGACCTTCCTTCAGGACAAGCAGGAATTTAATTTGTTAAATTTCAAGGGGTCAAGTCAGGATCTCTCCCAAGTGTCTTTGGGACTCTTCACCAGTTTCCCTCAGGAACTCCAGCCTCTGGTATCTGGTGCAGCTCCTCTCTGGCTGCTGTTCTTTCCCCTTGGATCTTCATCAGCCAAGGGTGGAGCTGTGAAGCTCCCAAGTCTGTTTCCTTCCACCCTATCCCAGAAGATGCAGCTCCTGGGCTTGGAGATCAACCCCCAGGAGCACTCAGGGGTGAAAGGGACTTCATTGGGCTGCTCCAAGAGTTGGCCAAGGGTCTTCCAGAGTCCTCTTGGTCACTAAAGCCTCCATAAGTGTATGAAGTTACCTCCTTTAGGATGTGTTTTCTGGCTCTTCCCTGATTTTTAGGGCCTGTTCCCATTTTTTTTGGAGGGAGTGGGATGGAAATATGGAAACATCTTCACTGTGGAGGAGAAGGGAGGTGAGGGAAAACACTTGGAAGTGTTGTTGTGAGTGAAAGGAGGCAGGGGGAAGCCAATCCATCAGTTTTTTAGCATGGAATGGAATCATGGAGTGGTTTGGGTGGGAAAGGACCTTCAAGACCATCCAGTCACACCCTCTTCATGGGCAAAGCCA